GTCTCCGGGACTGGAGGTGACCACCACAGTGTCCCCCAACACACCTGGAGAATGAGCGGTCTCTGGGACTGGAGGTGACCACCACGGTGTCCCCCAACACACCCGATGCAAAGAAAAGTAACCCATTCACACCTCAGGGCATCCTCAGTGCTTTGCTACGCCTTTAAAACTATCCACCCACAAAGCTCATCTCCCCCAGTCCATGGACACATCCTCCCCCAGGGGAGTGTGATGTTCCAGGGTCAACTCCTGTTCCTAGACAAGCACAGACACCCACTGACACACAATGACAACATTCAGAGCTTGGAAAAGAAATTTAGAGCTTGTTAAAGACTGAGAGAACCATAATGCCCACCGTCTGCCCCATACTATACAGAGCCCGTTGTTGGCTAAATTGTTTTCTTTTGCAATCAACTGAGGGTTTTTTTTTTTTACCATTTAATTTGCTTACCCTCCCCTACTTAAGAAACTTATAATTTGTGTACACAACATACAGACTAAGGCAAATAATAAATAAAGTCCACTAATGGTACATACACACTTCACAACAAAAGAAAAGTCTTCTGGCTAAATGAGTATTTCACAGTCTGTTTAAAACAAAAATAGTACTTTAACATCATTCACCTCCAGGATTTTGTCTCCAGTTTTCAGGGCGTTTGTCTTTCCCGCTGGACTGTCTGCTAAGACTTGTTTGATGAATATGCCTTTAAGCTCCTCTCCATTCTTCAGACGTTTTATAACCGTTTGTCCACCCACGATACTGATACCCAGAGACACGTTGGGCTCCCTGAATATCTCAACACTATAAAAAGAAAAAATACCTTACTCATTACCAAGTTAATGTAATCTGTTAGACCATTTAAGTATTAACGTGTACCATTTCCTTGTTGACATAGTTTATAAAAATAAATTTTCTAAATATACTTTTAAAACTGTTCTGTAGACTTTACCTAGTTCCAAAATTATAAGATGCTCTCAGTAATTTGTGACATGCAAAAGTTTCAGGTGTGAAATAGATTTCTAAAATAATAAATAGCACTCAAACTTCAGAAAAGATTTATTTGGACCTTAATGTCTCCACCCTCGACTACAACATATTTTCTGTGATTAGTTCCTTTCATTTATATCCATAATGTTAGCAAAGAGTGGACTGAGAAAATAACAAATGGCAAAAATCAAGAAAGCCACAGACATTATTTTGGCAAAAAGCACAGACTTTCAGAATAAACTTAATTTGCCACTGAGCGGCTTGCTGCCCAAGCAGGTATCCCGGTCAGCAGGTTGAACTCTGCGGTTCCTTAACCAGGACAGATTTTATCTGTTCCTCGGCTACAAGATTTTTACTTCCTATCTCTATGTAATTTTTAAAAAGAAAGCATGGAATGAAATTTACTCCTCATGGTATTACAGATTTTGCTTGAACTACAGAGATGTGGCCAAGAATTAAACTAAAAAGTAGCTCAGAAAACAGTTTTCAACACCTTGTGGACGGGTCACTGGTTGTGTTCTCATGCCCAAATGTCATTGATGAGTTAACTCATGTTTGCACTTACTCAGCTCCTGCGATTTTTAAAACACAGGGTAAAGTAGGATGTTGTAGAAGCTTTTCCTGATTGTGTCACCGGAGTAACAGCTGGTGACAGGGGCTAGCTTCTGGGTAAAGCTGCTAGTCAACAAGGTGTTAAGACCCGACAAATTCTTTACTTTTTTTTTTTTTTTTGCAGCTTTTGGCCGGGGCTGGGTTTGAACCCACCACCTCGGGCATATGGGGCTGGCGCCCTACTCCTTTGAGCCACAGGTGCGAGGGAAGACTGGTGTTCCCTTTGCACAGACTGGGACTTCCCACAAAGGAGGCACAGATAAACTGATACATGTTACAAGCTACAGTCACTGCTCTTCTGTCACAGAAACTCAGCTGTGCTGTATTCAAGGCAGTTTATTTAAGTGACTTAGCAGCACAGTGACAAACCACACGTGATGGTCAGTTTACTAGCACAGACGCACAATCTGTACATTGCTTTCTCTTTAAAAGTATCAAAGGGTTTACTAATATCGGTTATAGTCTTTTTGCCTGGCTAAAAATCTCTAGGTAAGATAAAATGAAACTAAAATTTCGGCCAGACTCCATGCGAATCACCCCAGCGTCCCCATCACTCGAGTATGACTGAGTGATGCCACTGAGTTAATGGACCACGGACTCTGCTCCCACCGAGAGCCCAGTGGCGTCCACGTACATTCTTGGTGGGCCCCAGTGGCTGAAGTTTGGAGTTTCTTCTCCTTCACCTTCTTCTCTCTCGGGTAACTCACTGAGGAAGGAGAAAGGAAAAAATGCACACAACTTAGAAGATACACTCTTACTATTAAAGGTTATGAAAAGTTTTGAAATCGCACAATCTGTAGGCAGTTAAGTAGTTCTTAACTTTTGAGCTTTTAAAATACGTCATTAAACATACAAAACAAAAATATTCTGTTCTCACATTCAACAAATTTAAATCTCCACCCAGCACCAGAAAAAAAAATCACAGAATTATAAATTATATTATAAATACCTTTTTTTTTTTTTTTTTAGACAGGGTATCACTCTGTTGCCCAGGCTAGAGTGCATAGCTCACAGCAACCTCAGACTCCTGGGCTCAAGTGGTCCTCCTGCCTCAGCCTCCCAAGCAGCTGGGACTACAGATGTGTTACCTGCGTATCACCATTCCCAGCTCATTTTTCTTACTGTATTTAGAGACAGGGTCTCGTGCTAGCCTCTGGCTGATCTCAAACAATCCTCTTACCTTAGCCTCCTAAGTCACTGGGGTTAAAAAGGTGTGAGCCACTATAAATACTAGTGCCCAGCTATAAACACTTTTATAGATACAGTCTAGATGCTATTTTCTAAAAATATATCCTGATTTGTATAATTTCACATTTCTCCATCAATATATAAAATGGAGTAAAATATATTCCTTATATTTTAGCATGCGTTGACTAAGTTATAACCTGACGTGTATCAAGTATAAATCTACATACACAGCTAACCACGGTCCCTCTCTCTAGACTTTTCAGTAATGTTAACCCAAAGTAACTCCCATCATTTGTGTCCCATGAATATTCTGTGTGGCTCTACAGGACTTCTCAGCCTATAGATCAGGGGTCCTCAAACTTTTTAAACAGGGGGCCAGTTCACTGTCCCTCAGACCGCTGGAGGGCCGGAGTTGGCTGCTAAGCAGGACAGGCAGTGGCGGCAAAAACACCCGATGGGCCAGATGAATGTCCTCGGCAGGCCGCATGTGGCAATGTGGGCTGTAGTTTGAGGACACCTGCTACAGATGTGAACTTTTATTATCTATGTTAATCATCACTCCCCCCAACTCAGCGCTCTGATGTGCCTTAACACCAGGCTCCCACAAAGCTGATCTCACCCTATCCATGGATGCACCTCTCCCCCAGGGAGGCCTTTCAATCCTTGAGAGTTATGTTTGTGAGGAACTGCTGACCTAGTTATAAGACTAATGTGATTTAAGAGGGCACAGAAAGACATTACCATATATGATCTAGAAGAAAAACCAGCCATCCTAACTTCAGGTCTACCCTGTGCCGAGAAACAGGTGTGTGACTGCGGATCACCAAATGAAATATGTCTGATGCTGTAAACGGCACCACTCTGCACAGAAGTGCAGGCACCATCTCTCCTATCTCATTTCCAGCACAGCAGCTCCTGTTACATTTTACACATGAGGAGCTGAGGCTTGGAGCAGGCTCAGGCATGACCGCGCCTCACTGCCCCTCCGCCCGCATCCCGATCTGTCTCAGCACCAAGTCTCAAGGCTCCATTTTTCTCTGAACACTCAGACAAGCCTGTAAAAAGCAGCAAACACCACCTTCTTGCCTCTTTACAGATTTTCTAAGATAAAAGAGTCTTTTTTTTTTTTTTTTTTGAGACAGAGCCTCAAGCTGTCCCTCTGGGTAGAGTGCTGTGGCTTCACTGCTCACAGCAACCTCCAACTCCTGGGCTCAAGTGAGTCTCCTGTCTCAGCCTCCCAAGTAGCTGGGACCACAGGTGCCCACCACAACGCCCGGCTATTTTTTGGTTACAGCCATTATTGTTGTTTGGCACGCCTGGGCTGGATTTGAACCTGCCACCTTAGGTGTATGTGGCTGGTGCCTTAGCCACTTGAGCCACAGGCGCCAAGCCAAGATAAAAGAGTCTTAAGGCCATGGAAAAAGAGAAAGCCGACCCAAACGTGTCCAGGAATTGGGATCGTGACTATCTTGCTCCCTACCAGACGTCTGCCTCACCTTAGCCAGTCTAGGTGCCAGTAAGGTATGAGATGCTATCAAAGTACCACAACACTCAGGGAAAAACCAGTTGGCAAATGCTTGCTGGTTACGTATCTAATGCCTTTTCCTCCCCTTTTTATGGTTATGTTGGAAACCTCTTTTATTCCAAGTGGCACTACACCCAGCTTTGAAAAAATACATTTTCTGGACTTCCTTTTAGCTAACAGGGACTGTGTTCCACAGTTCTGATCAGTGGTATTGGAGCAAAAGCACCTGGATGAAATCTCCAGGGAAACTCACTGAAGGGAGGGAGACTCAGCGGGCAGCAGCCGGCTCTCCCTTCCTGCCCACTGCCCGGCACTCCCTTCCTGCCTAGAATGCAGAGGTGATATTCCTCTGAAGCACCCATCTCTAAGTCACAAAGAACCCACGGGGCTGAAAACCACACATTAGGGACAACAGAGCAGTAAGGAAGATGTCATTTAAGATCTGGGTGACGGTAGCACCATACCATCCTCAGACCACCGTCAAGACTTTTTGCATAAAAAAAAAAATTGAGCCCTTGGTGACTTAAGCCACACAAGTGGGTTTTCTGTTTATAAGCAACCAGATGCAACCCTTCAATGAAACACCCATGATTCCACCAATTTCCAATTTAAGTGACTTCACCCTATCACACTATCATCTTTACACACACATTCACTGGACAGTCGTAATCATAGCACAAACTTTCATATTTCATATTTTCAACATAACCATAATAAGGATCAAATAAAATAATACTGGCACTTAACTGAGTCTCCACAAATACTCATTTCCTTTGTAATTTTTTAACTTGAATTTATCGCAAAATTTCCCTACAGATTATCATAGTCCTTCTCTTTTTAATTTAGTAGTCCCTTAATAGTTCACGGCATGGATGGTCTTTACCTGCTATCCCAATATGCAATGAACACAAATTTATCCTGTTTTTTGAAACATGAACATTACTGCAAGGAATATCCTCACGCTTCGCTGTGTAATCCTCCTCTAAATAATTATTAATTGAAATGAGATTGAAAACTAAAAACAAAACAACACTGAAATCTTCCTCTTCCCCATTTCCTATTTTCCTGTACCCCAAATCATAACAGGCATTAAAGGAGAAAGGCAATTATTTTGACCATGGCACATTTGTGCCATCATCATGGGATGGAAATGTTGTACTTTTTTTGTTCTTAAAGAGACAACCTAAAATAGAAAACAAGTCTTAACAGATAGTAGGGACTCTTGTTTTTCTATTTTAAAAAGTAAACACTACACATCAGCTGCCAACTCTCACATACAACTTAGGAGAGGCAAGGGGACCACTCAGCTTAGAACGTGAAAAAGTTTAATTTTCTCTGATAAAATACGTAACAGAACGATTATTCTGTTGCAAGAGACTCACTGGCCTTTTCACGTCATGTGGTCACATTTTATTCAGACTATTTTATATCTATCAAGAGAAACAACTTGTGAAAACTTATCCAGACAGTGTGATTAATTTTAGAAAT